TTTAAAAAAATAATTCATATTTGAAAGAAACTCAACAGCATGAACAAAGAATAAACCTTAACAGCAGCCAATGGAATGGTGGGGAAGGAGGTTATGGCATTGTGCTCACTAACTTCAAAACTACTTCCCAATAAAAAACTAAGCAATGTCATCACAACTTAATACCCTTAAGGCATACCTTAGCACAACTTCAACCTTCCATGGAAGAAGTGGAAATTTAGCTAACTGGATTGAAGAATCCATTCTGAAGCAGTTGAGTTCAGGGGTAAGACCTTCCAAAGATCACTGAATCCTCCCAACAGATGATCTGTAAATGGAAAGTTGGGGCATTCTCTCATTTCGTGAAGTTCTTTACAAGGAGTTGCTGCACAAGTATTTTGCCAGCACAGCTCGATTTGAGTCAGTATTGAGCTAATAGCCATATATAAAGGTTAACTGCTAACTTTCCATGCAATGTCCTGTTTTGACATCCATGTTAGGCAACATTTGGTAGAATCAAGATTCATCTCTACTGCAACAAATAGTTTATGGAATTATCCCATTTCTCACCCATTTCTTCCATTACAGACTGTAACAGAGATGAAGAAATTAATAAGAATGAATTTGTCCTACATTTGGTAGAATCAAGATTCATCTCTACTGCAACAAATAGTTTATGGAATTATCCCATTTCTCACCCATTTCTTCCATTACAGACTGTAACAGAGACGAAGAAATTAATAAGAATGAATTTGTCCCTCATTTTTTTTTTTTACCTAACTAAAACTTTTTCTGAAAACTAAATGAACAATGAGGAAGGTGGTCAGTTAGAAAACTCCTCTTCTGAAATCCACAGCAGAGGAAGGATTGAAAGTGAATAGTCAGTTCTTAGCTGATGGGGAACTCTGCCCTACCTCTGGATCTTCCCTCCCTCAAAATTATTTTCTTTTTGATCTCCAACCCAACTCAAGATCTGAAGTGTCCCTTTGGTCGCCTAGTTTTACTAAAGTTTGATTCAGTGACAAGTGTCTGAGGGCAGGATAAACAATTTCCTTTCAAGACTGAGTTGTGTTTCCAAATTTGGTGCAAGGGATATTGATTGGGTAAGGGATTACGCCTGGATTAAATCATTATTTAAATCCATAGAGACACCAAATAATATTAATTTTGTAATCAGATGGACCAGTTCTTTTCTGTTCCTTGAGGTTCCAATTACATTTTGTTCCATTTGTTTTGAATCTCTTTTCCAAGGGTAACAGCACATTCCTTTTCATGTTCTCTTTTCTTCAATGAAATTCATACATTCTTATAGTACCTATTAATCAAACTATGTGGTGATACTCCATTCTTGAACAGGCACAAATCTCACCTAAAGGAATTCACGGAGTTTTCACCAGTACTAAGAGTGAAGTACTAAGGCACTAAGAGTGAAAAGGAAAAACTAAAAAAAAGCTGAATTGCTTGATTTAAATCGAAATTGAGAGTAAATTAGTCACTTCTTTGTATCTATTCAGACTGATTCAAACTATTTGTCACATTGCATCCCATGCACATGACAGTTGAGCAGCAGGTCCCTGGGACCAACCCTGACTTATCAATACTTGCCAAACTATATTAATTATAATAGGACGAAACACAAATTCACGAGAATCCACAAAGTGAAAATACCAGAAGGCCTGCCCCTAAATGAGTACAGTATGCATACCTATTGCATTTGATTTTCCTCACATTAAAAATGCAACTCCCTAAAATCCTAAAAACAGTGTAGACTCCACTCACCAAAAGTTAAAATTAAAAAGAGGCAAAATAAAATGACTCACCACAGGCATTGATCTATTGATGAAAAATCCAGCTGCTGTTGCTTTGGTACTCTCACATCCTGGAGTGTAAAGAACTATTATTTAGTTCAGATTGCATCTGTGGAAACTAAAATCCATTTCTAGTACGAAATACATTCATAACAACCAACATTGCCAATGTTCTCTGCATTCTTTGTAAATATTGCCCAATTGTACCATATCTAGTTATGAGCTAACAAAGGCCACATCCCTACCATCAATGAATCTCTTCTTCGCAAGTAGTTACTATGCAAAATTCGTCAGGGCTTCTGGCCCAAGGCAACATGTTCCATTCAAGAGAGCTCTTCTCCTCCACCCTCAAAAATAAAACCTGTCAACTCATAAGATCTACAAGTTAACACGCTAGCTACGAAATTATCACTACTTACTCAATTCACATTTCAAAACTTGCACGAGTGACAGAATTCATCATTGTCTTTTCCACCCAAAAAAATGAAACGCTATATCCTACACGGTCAAAATGTCCACCAAGACCTCCTCCTTTATACTGAAAAGTTTCTTAGCACCGTATATAACGTTCCCTTGCATTACGCTTCATATTGTCTTTTCCACCCAAAAAAATGAAACGCTATATCCTACACGGTCAAAATGTCCACCAAGACCTCCTCCTTTATACTGAAAAGTTTCTTAGCACCGTATATAACGTTCCCTCGCATTACGCTTCATACTGTGGCTAAAGTGAATAGAGCACTTGCATGGATTTCGGAAACCCATCCCGAAAGAAACTGGTTACCGTCGACACCAATGCTTCGCAGCAGCATGCGACTACACTGTTTTCGGATTGAATTGGTACCCCCCCCTAGGAGCGCTTCAATCAAATACAGGCAGGACACCTTGTGGGAGGAAGGTGAAGTATTAGCAGAACCATCCAACAACCATGTGGAGCATCAGGCTTGACATCTTGAGGATCGTCTGGAAAGCTTGTGTTTTCTCCGTTCTCTACAGTAGGGGGGTACCAATTCAATCCGAAAACAGTGTGTTTCGTGTTCGTAACGACTGCTTTGACTTTCATCTCGAGGAGCCGACGGAAATGGCAAGGGACAGGTCAGGGTTGGAAGGAGGGAGACCGAAACTCCCAACCCAAGGCTTCCAACGTTCTTCTTGCGTCTGCAGCCGAGCGAGGTATAACGTTGTCGTTCTGCAGCACGACGACGCTTAGTTGCGCTCGCCTGCACGCACGCAAGGCTTAACGTTGTCATTCTGCAGCATGACGACGCCAGGCCTCACGAGAGAAACGTCGCAATTCTTGCGATGGAAGCGTCTGCCTCACCCGCCGCCAGTTTGGACCAAGGCTTCCCACATTCAACAAAATAAGTTGCATCCATTTAGAGGAAGAAACGAGAAAGCAGTCGTGCACAAGCGGAAATTGGATTCTTGCGATGGAAGCGTCTGCCTCACCCGCCGCCAGTTTGGACCAAGGCTTCCCACATTCAACAAAATAAGTTGCATCCATTTAGAGGAAGAAACGAGAAAGCAGTCGTGCACAAGCGGAAATTGGATTCCGTGGTGGGAAAACAGTATCTCTCCAGTAACTGCGGGAGGTTTCCAAAAAAAAAATATATATATACAAGTAACGGAGGAAATATGTGGTAATCATCGAACCATGGTCACTGCTACTGCCTTTTTCCGCCACGTGGCCGAGGCTCATCGAAGCCGGTTAGCAATTTAAAGACCAACAACGAAACGGAACGTGTGCAACAGCACTACGAAAGCCAAGTCAAACATGGACATGGGCTTCAAAAGATGTATTTACCGTCACTTCCCGCCCGTGGAGTCATACGTAGTTCGGAACACCCTGCTTCTTCAACAGGTTGCATCTACAAATCCAATAATTGGCCTGCTCCGTCGGTACCAGGTCCACGAAAGATTCCCTTATTCCTTGAGGGAAAACACATGAGAGACTTTCACGTTCGCATACTATTCTAAAGGTTGGGTCAATCGATCCTGATTAGGCCCACGTCGGACACACCACCTCATCGCGTTTCCCTGAAAACCATATCGTCAGAAGATAACGTTACCTAAAGCCACTTCACGCGTAATCAAGTGTTAGGTCTAACTTGGTCCCCCTTGCGATCCTTCATTTAAGAAGTGCATTCGGTCACAATGGCACCATCTGAACCGTGCAAGAGTCGAAGAAACGGAAAGAGAGCTCCCGCACCGAGAAAAGCCTCGAGAACGAATACCACGGGACGAACTCACGAGAGACGCCTTCGTGTGAAGAGGTGTTTGGGTCTACAGACTAATCATACCATGTTGTGATGCTATGAAGACGACACAAAAATTGGAACAACGGAGAAATGCCAGTTAAGCGACGTGGAGGGGCGACGCGGAGACACCTCCGTCCTTCGTGGCAGCAGGCAGGCGAAAGGGAAGAGGGAAGGAGAGCTACGCGATACTAGGCTTCCAATCCTGGCTGTTGCGCGGGTTTTTCACCTTCTGACCAATCGCCGTAACACCATTCCTGACCCGCACGTTCGCCAAGTTTTCGATCCTGCTCTTTTATGACGCTTTATGCCGTCCGAACCCATTCGACTCGTGCGAGGAAGTCCAACGATCGTTCTCGCGTTTCCGAAAAACACACCGATGGGGAAAGGAAGGAGACGACGACTTCGAAACGTTTGGATTTAGTGCATCGTCTCACGATCGGGGGTGTCGGTCCCGACCCGACACGCCTGCACAGACGAGCCCCTCGGGTATTTCACCTGCCCGAGACGAGACGGACTCGCGCGTTTCGGTTCTGTCGAGTCGGAGAAACGCAGACGGCCTTCCGGGCAAATCCACGAATCCCAATCTCTCCTCAGGAGACGCAGTAGGAGGAGACGCCGGTTTCCCAACTCTTCTCTTTTTTTTTCTTTCCTCCTTCCTTTCTTGAAAGATTTTCCATTTCCTCGAATCGCCAGTGCATATCGTCATAGAGAAGCCGAAAGCACCGGGGTTCGGAAAAACTGCCACCCAGAAAAAAATATCCCCCAGAATAGGCATGAGAGGAAAAAAAATAACCGATATGAAACGATAGGAAGCTCATGACGCTCGAGCTTGCTTTTAGTATTATAAATGAGTAAATAAAATTAATTAAATTTGTCGGGTATTGCGCATTCTAACGCATCGAGCCTTTGTAATTCGCTTTTAAAAATCATATTTGCGTGTTTGGAATCGTGACACTCGCCCATTGCACGAAACGAAGTTGCCCAAGCAGCACTGGAATGGTGAAACCGAGTTGAACTGGTGCTCGTTCGACGATACGGAATCATCCTGCTCCGGAATTCCACGTCGGTTCTCACAAGTTCAAACATCCACCACGTTCTAATGAAGTCATGCGAAAATCATTTTTTAAAAGGCTTTCACTTTCTTGAACCCCCAACCCCCAACCTCCCCCTCTCCTTCTCTCTAGGAAACTCTAACTTTCCCAGGTAGCCAACCATGACTGGGCCAAGTAAGGCATATGCATAGCAAAATAACATGGGCCCAATGCGGCAGCCAGACATGGGCCATACGAGAAATGTCACAATGGTCGAGCCTCGGCCATATCTCTGGACCTAGTAAGATGCAATACTTGGGCCGAATTTGGCCCATTAGAGAGTACATTCCTAGGACCAAGTGTGGCAGCCAGATTTGGGCCTTACAAAAAAATGTCACAATGGTCGAGCTTAGGCCATACCTCTGGACCTATTAAGGACCCAACATTTTGGCCAAATATGACCTATTAGGTCAGGAAATAACAAGGTTGCCACCAAAGCAGCATTTCAAATTTCATGTGATATAAAACCATTGTCATCTTTTTGTGCAATAAATGTGAATTTGATTTTCACTTGCAACATCCATTGCATAAAAGAAATGTTTACTCTTATGATACCAGACATATATAGAAGTCCCCATACTCTCTATAGCCATCAGCATTATAAAAAAGGGGTTTTCTTTTAAATATCATATACACCACTTTGAAGAGTGTCTTGGAATTCATTGCCAGTATTTCGTCTGCTTTCCTTTGTGTGACTAATCAAAATCTGGGCTTTCCATTCAAATTAATGTAAGTTGAATGATATATAAAAATTCAAAATCACCAAACTAGGGAAACTGGGACTAAAGAGGATATATTTAACAAATCTGACCAACTACAGAAAAGCAACAAAATGCACTTTCACTTTACATTCTGATGCAGCACTTACAAAACAAATGAAATCAATACCATATACTGTATTAGTCCAAATACCAGAACCTTTGCATAGGAAAAGATATATGTATTTGAACCAGGCGCATCAAAATTTGCCAATTTCATATAAAAATTATAACCTAAGAACAAGCAAAACATAAGAATTTCCCTCATATTAAACATAACTTGCAGCATTAGGACATCAGAGAAATCATGACCCTGAACCATTTCCCTGCCAAAAGCTTTTCCCTCACAAAAATTGCAATTCTACTTCAGAACACACTGAAATAAAATATTTGCAAAGCAGTGGCTTATACTTTAAATGTGCTTTTTAGTTCTCATTCACTACAGTTACGCACCACTACATTATCTTCCTGCAAGCATAATACTGAAATTGCAATTACTTATTTTTTCCCATTTCATATCAATTATCACCATGCATATAACAAGTCCCTTTTCAGGAAAAATCACCTCTAGAGGTTTTTAATAACATGCAGTAGAGGTTTAAAAAATTTTTAATCTCGGTTGTCCAGATCGATGTATCCTCAATCAAATTCCTCATTTTCAAAGGAAAATTTCCCCTTCTCATGATGTGGGGATAGGAATCCTCTCACTCCAATGTTGATGAATCCTATCAATCATGAATTCCATTTGTCTTCTGGACTTATTCTTCCCCTCTGGTCCTGCTGTAGTTTCTGCCGTCAGGTGCTACGGCTGTAGATGTAAATAGTAGAGGTAGTACTGAATGCCCCAGAAGCAATCCCGGCTAAAGTCCATCTGCCAGTGCCACAATTAAACGATCGATTAGCTCGACCCAGTGTAACAGGTGGCTGTAACTGGAAAATGGTAGAGGTTTAAAAATTTTTTAATCTCGGTTGTCCAGATCGATGTATCCTCAATCAAATTCCTCATTTTCAAAGGAAAATTTCCCCTTATGATGTGGGGATGGGAATCCTCTCACTCCAATGTTGATAAATCCCATCAATCATGAATTCCATTCGTCTTCTGGACTTATTCTTCCCCTCTGGTCCTGCTGATGCAAAATTGTGAAATTAGCGAATAAGCAAATAAATTATTAGGGAGCACTGAGAAAATGAAGTGGAATGAGAATAAATTATATTAAAAAAGGATTTAGTTCAGAACTGGTTTAAAATTTCTGTCTTTTCAATTATGGTCCTTGTATATTTTCCTCCCATTCTTCTATTCGCCTGCCTTCTGGCAGCAAGCTTTGTATGTGTGTTCTTCCACAATTTTTTTCTTTTATTGGTTCACTTTGAACTTTTGCTGGGAATACTATGTGAGACATGCCATGCAAAATGAAAAAACTACATTTCCTTTTCAGAGATAGATGAGTTGGCATGTGCCTTGGTGTTAAGGGAAATCTAGAAGCCAACTTGGCTCCTTGATTTGAAACTAAATTGAAGATATAGGAATCCTCTCACTCCAATGTTGATAAATCCTATCAATCATGAATTCCATTTGTCTTCTGGACTTATTCTTCCCCTCTGGTCCTGCTGATGCAAAATTGTGAAATTAGCAAATAAGCAAATAAATTATTAGGGAGCACTGGGAAAATGAAGTGGAATGAGAATAAATTATATTAAAAAAGGATTTAGTTCAGAACTGGTTTAAAGTTTCTTTCTTTTCAATTATGGTCCTTGTATATTTTCCTCCCATTCTTCTATTCACCTGCCTTCTGGCCGCAAGCTTTGTATGTGTGTTCTTCCACAATTTTTTTATTTTATTGGTTCACTTTGAACTTTTGCTGGGAATACTATGTGAGACATGCCTTTTCATTTCCTTTTCAGAGATAGAGGAGTTGGCATGTGCCTTGGTGTTAAGGGAAATCTAGAAGCCAACTTGGCTCCTTGATTTGAAAGTAAATTGAAGACTCTCCCAGAGGAGAGTCTACATTTGACTATTAGTCACTGTTTAAAATACACATTTTCTGACTTCATATTGTATTTCTCAGAAAAAGTATAACCTTAAATGCTCAATGAGCACTAGACATGATCACTTTCCATAAGATCTACAAGTCTCCAAGAGGCAGATGAACACACTGGAATATGGAAAAAACATAAATCAGTTGACATCAGTATCAATTCTTTTGAGATGTTTCCATGCCATTTGATCATGATGCTGCCTAGGTTGAGAAGAAATTGTTAACTACAGCACTTACTTGAGTGTAGTTCAGTCCAACAGATCATTCTTCCCTTCTTCTTTGGGTCCTGTAATGTTGAACACCAGTAGAACCTCCTTCCAGAAGAAACCATATATCACTTGTCATTATTCCAGCCAATTTCACTCTCCAGGGTCACCAAGAAAGTCCAAAAAAGTTGACAATTCTATCAGAGACATTTTGAAGAGTTAAAGTAACTGTTGATATAACTGGCAAATAAACAGGCAAGCATCTACATCAGTACAAATGCACTTTTGACCTTTCACTTTGGCACTGAAGCCTGCAGAATCAAGTCAAGGCACATTGGCTTTTTAGGACCTAAGGGAGATGAATCAGTAAAGTTCAAAATGCTTCAAAATTAAAAAAAAAATCCTAATATAGCTGGGGTTATATGCATGCCAGTGATACTTTTAAAGAAAGAGGCAGGCAGTTTTAAGATTATCTGCACCTTAAGCAACACATATGCATATTTGAGCAGATGTTGGCCTTCATATATCTAGATCCTAGAAAGATCTGAATTCAAAGGACCAGCTATTATGGACAGATGAAACCCACAAAATGAATGAAATTGATGAATGGGTTAAGCTTCTCTGAAAGGTCTTTAGGAGGTTTTCCATCATAAAAGTGCATCATAGTTGTTGCACCACAAAAATATGTCCATATGGATTCAGTCTCCATTCCCCATGAAAAACCTGGAAACCGAGAAATGTTGAAAGTAGGAGTCATGCTAAGTTACTGGGCATATAGACCTGACTATGGAGTCCCATGTCTAAGGGCTAATTGCTTAGCAAAAAATGTATATTCCCTAGCCTTTAAATTTCTGGCTATATTATGAAGAGACTCAAACAAGAGTACATGAGATGCACACATTATGGAGTCAAGTCAGTTGGGGAGAGGGTTCAGTTGAGGCCTATGTCTACATTTCAGGATCAACTTTGGCAACAATAATACAAAGTTATTTTATTTTTACACAGAGGAGAAACAGCCAACCACTAAGGGCCCATGCCATTGTGCACTAGGTTTTTCTAATATACATGTAGCACAGGAAACTGATATGAAGAGTAGGGGAGTACAGGCATTCCAAAATACTTATGATGGCCCATTACATAGGCCCACCCAAAATTCAAATATATTCCTCACAGAGATCATATTAATGGTCATTTTTACATAAAACCAGCAAAATTCCATTTTCCCGAGTTGCTTTGTCAAGAATCACGCAGAGAGCCACAACTGCTCCCCTGATCCAATATGTACCGACCCCTCACTGATTCAAACGTATGCAAATCTGACCTAGCTTTGCAGTAGAATATACCTCAGTTCGCAGCAGAATGACATGAAGACCGGAATAGACAGAGGCAATGCGACAAAACACTCAAGCCTACAGCAAGAGATTAACGCGCGAAACCTAATCTAATATGGTATAGGAGGATAGTGTGAAACTGTAAAGTCAGGACAAGACTACCCAGATAACATTTTTCGTGGGGCCCACGTTGGCCCAACGTGGTCCTCCGTCAGGATACGTTGGCCCAACGTAGGCTACCCATGTAGGCCCCACGTGAAAGTGACCGTTGGGCCAACGTGGGGCCAACGTTGGCAGTAAGTAGGATAGCAACGTACAACCCACTTAAAGCCCACCAAATACGAAAGATGCTCCTTTGGTCTTTCCACAGATTCAGGGATTATCTCATGTGCTTGCGCTGGTACCCTCAGTGGTGTTTCTTCTTCAAGTTATCTATAGGTCCACATTGATATTTAAATGGGCCAAATGTCAGAATAAGTGGAGGCATAGCTCATCAATCGTCAGCAAGAACTATAGATGCAGATTCAGAGGATGCCTGAATCCTCCCATCACATCAGACTGTGGTTCATCAATTACAAAATATGGAATTGGAATGCCTCTTAAAACATTTCAAACTGAAGCGCTTAATAATTTCTCCAAAGCAAAAAATTCAGTGGCACTCCATGAAAATCAGAAAAGAGAAACACAAGTATTTGAATGCAAAAATATAATTTAACAAAAAACAAGCATGAATAACAAAGATAATTCTCAAAATTCAACATAAAAAGAGAAATATGGGGACCAACAAAAGTGTCATCATATAAACTTTTCTGGGGGCTTTAAGAATGGTCCTACAAAAAATCTTCTAGCACAGATACCCGTCAATCAAACAAAAAATTTGTCTTCTTAGAGGATTCTCCGTAAACGTCTTCCTCCATTCCAGTCTCAGGAGAAGCGAAGAGAGTTCCCCACAACACTGCTTACTTCCTCCTCAGTCAATGCCAGCTTCTTTGCAGCAACTTGAAAAGGAAAAGAAATACAAAAAATTCAAGGATGATGGAAACAGAATCCACATCAAATCCCAGTCTGCTTGGAATTAACTATGAATATAACCCTTGGCAGCAAATTAGCACTTAAAAAAAATAAATTCCAAAGCAAAACATTCACATCATATATAGCACCTTTCTGACTTAATGTCATTACACTGGAAAATTGGGGGAGAGGGGGATAGTCAATTAAAATTTTATGACTGAGCCCTTTCCTCACTGATATTCTTGCATGCATTCAGGAAATACCTGGAATTAAATTGAATAAATTGTAATGACCTCTTAGAAAATATCAGAGTATGATATATGTCTTGTTTTCCAGTTATGAGATCTGAGCCCTTTCCTCACTGATATTCTTGCATGCATTCAGGAAATACCTGGCATTAAATTGAATAAATTGTAATGACCTCTTAGAAAATATCAGAGTATGATATATGTCTTGTTTTCCAGTTATGAGACATGCTATGGATAAGAAACAACCTATTGTTTACCAACCTGTGATCGACTTGCAGATCATTAGTTCCTTGAAGCACTTCTTTCCAAGAAAAGAATATTCCTGGGCTACATCCTTGCTAATAAGGGCCTTCACCATGTGGATGATGCTCTCCTTACCATCTTTGCCTCCAATACCACGCAAGTATGAAACCTATGGCATGAACACAAAATGGAAAGTTGACACTCTGAACATAGTCATAAATGCTTTTCAGAAGGAATGTTAATATTGATGTATTAGGCCATGGGTGCACAACATATGGCCTGCAGGCCAAATGCAGCCCACAAGGCCCATGTTTGTGGCCTGCAGTGACTGGTGGCATTGGAAGTGCCACTATGTCTCCCACCCTTTTGACTACAGCTATGGTCGGCCAGACTGCAGCCTGCGGTAGATGAGTAAAAATTGGAAAAGGCCCTCACAATAATTTGAGTTGTGCACCCCTGTTTTAGGCTATTGCTAAAAAAAAAAATTGATTGGCATCAGGTTTGATGGGTGAGTAGTCTCCCAATATTCTAAGTGACCTAATCATCAGTATGAGGCTAGGAGATATTTCACTAGGTAACTTGGCACCAAGGATGAACATTGGGCAAAGACACTAAGGGAATAAAGAATGAACAACTAGCCATTCCCTTTTTTGAACATTTTGAATACTTCAGGAATGGTGTTGTGTCCCATGGGGAAAGCAGAAATAGGGAGATGCATAAGCACAAAAAATGAAAGGGGAGATATCCCATGTGGAATATCCATAATCCATTCCCTTTTTTGAACATTTTGAATACTTCAGTAATGGTGTTGTGTCCCATGGGGAAAGCAGAAATAGGGAGATGCATAAGCACAAAAAATGAAAGGGGAGATATCCCATGTGGAATATCCATAATAACTACTTTTGTGCATTGAATCCAGCATAAGACAAGGAAGCATGACCACCCCTGTAAGAAATGTCATGTTGATGCAGCCCAAATGCCAAATCAGGTTGAAAAAAAAAGCAGTTCAATCCTTACTTAATTAGGAAAATATATTTTTGCCACAAAGATGCACCAAAGGTCATGGTGTCATTGACCTAAGACTAATGTCAACAATACTTTCTTTTTGGAGCTTAAACTTACTTCAGATGGGAAGACACCAATAGCAGTTTATAAGATTTTGGTTACAAGAGACAACGTCACCAAAGGTCATGGTGTCATTGACCTAAGACTAATGTCAACAATACTTTCTTTTTGGAGCTTAAACTTACTTCAGATGGGAAGACACCAAAAGCAGTTTATAAGATTTTGGTTACAAGAGACAACGTTTGATACCCATGGGCCTATGGGATATTGGGAAATATTTTCTATTGGTAAATTTTCACTTTTGAAGGATCTTTGCAACAGCAATAAGAATAGGGAGGATGTCATAAAAAAAGGAGATAAATATAAAATGCTAACCAAGTCAGCACGAGCAGTGTGATCTGCACTCAACAGTTCTTCATAGAGTTGAAGATCATCTAATGTGTTCAGGGGAATTTGCATGGGCAGGTCTTGTGCAGTCATTACCATTGGTGACACCTCAAGATTGCTTCGTGTTTGTCGGTTTTTTTCCATCAAGATCACCCGCTGATTGATTTCTTCCAGCTTTTGCATTATCAACTCCTAGAAAGCTGAAATCAAGAATGAACCTGTAGGTTGACCACACACTGTAAATGGCAAGATGAATTTTGGCTTTCTTGTTAAATGGACACAATTGGGGCTTACTTTTAAGATCACCACCAGGCTAAGCCCACTGTGAAGCATGCAGGACCCAACTTTGAGTTCTAAATTCAACTGCTATAAGCAAGCCCGAGAAAATACTCCAATTGTATTGGCCAATGTAGGCCGTTAACCACAAAAGGCAACCCTTCAGAGGTTTTACAATGAGTTCAACACAACCTCCATTAGGGCACTGAAACAACTGGTATTATGACTCTAAAACCAACAAATATCAGGTCATGTTATTCATAAGACCAAACGAAACTTTAGTTCTGCTGGTGTCGGTAGGACCACAAAGACTTAGCATTGAACAGTATGTGAACTCACTGCGAAAAGACTGCAGTAACTCCATAGAACATGGGCCAAGGTGTAAATTTCACATTGTTAGCAACTCTTGTTATTTCTTGTTATTGCAAACTCATATGTTATTTCTGTGGTAACACAGGTACCTTTAACACTGTACTGTACAACGAATCTTTAACAGAAGACATCAACTTAGACTGCACTGCACGGAAGTCAAAGCTACACGTATGACCAATTTGCCCACGTTGGGCCAACATCGTTCCCCAACATGCACGTTCCGCCAACGTTTCCCACCTTTACCCGACGTGGGCCCAACGTAACGTGTTATCGAGGTTATTATTCCCCTTGCTCTGGCTTTAATCTCTTCCCCTGTCTTGTTAACATACAGCTTGACCGAGCACGGGAGATCGTAGGTACTTGCCGCCTACACACAGTCGGTAATTGGGCTTAAAATGTAAAGAGTGCATTCGTGACAGATACAGTAGGCCCAGAGAGCAGCCTACGATAGCTTGGTCTACTCTAGCCCAGGCCTGTAGACTTTAGCCTAAGCTGCTTTCTAGGTTATCAAGTTCATAATCTAATACAAACTTGATAATCCTTCCCGTACTTGTGTTAAATTCATCCTATCCAGTACCAGCAGAATTATTGATTGCAGCGAAATAAAAACAAGTATCCTCTGACCTTTACATCCACAATCAAATGTTTTCCCAAAATTAGCATTCTCAAATCAAATTCCTTGTAGGAATTACTGATAATGGTATCTCATTCTTGCCGAGGTGTTATGGAGGTCGAATATCAATTACCACATCACTAGGAATTAAGGATTTCTGAATCCGCTTCAGCCAGGGGACCAAGTACTTGCCAACAAGGGTTTCTTCTATATTCAAGGTTTAAAAATATCTCAAGGCCAAGAACTCCTTGCCCTTATGATTTCGCTACAACCGTGAAATGTGGACACCCGAGAGGGTGACGATATTTCTGCATCAAACATCTAGCTCAAATTTATTTATTTTCTTTTTCCGTTTAAATTTCCTTTTTTTTTTAAACTAGAAGTTCCAGCCTATGACCTCGCGTATGAGTAGCTTCTCTCTTTATTCTGCCATCTTGAGAGAAAGAGGAAAACGAAAAAAAAAGCATAGCAGCAAGACAAGACACGATTTTCTTGGCTCTCTATCTGCCTCAGATTCAAAATCGTGCTAAATTCGGCAGAGCGAACAACGATTTCACGGTGATGGGGAATTAGCGAAGCAAGAGTCGGGATTGACAACAGTCACGGGAGCGAATGATGAAGTTTCGGTTCGAGAGAAGCGTGTTCCAAATCTTCACGCCTTCGGCGTTCGTGTAAGACAATAAATGACCATGCTGGGAAGAATCCTCTGAATACTAGAAACAGTACGAGTATCATTGAAAAAAAATGCAGAGCATCTTAATGAAATTCAGATACGCCATGAGACCGGTGCTTCCGTGCCAGATGGAAATTCTGGGACCTGTATAGGAAGTAGTGTCCCTTCTCTCTGCGGTATATACGGCATGGTTTGCATGAACGGCGTTCATTCTTATTCGCATTTTGGGCTCCGTCTTTTGTGCACTGCGTTAGTCAGGCCCGAGCTGATGAGTAGTAGTGTCAAAGTAGTGAGCGTGAGTACGTATGGGCTGTCCATGTGAGAATAATCAGAGAGCTGAGTTAACCCTTTTAGTGCCATGAGAACTACTTATAGTCGATCAAGCCTATGGAACGGCCGCGTGGCACTAAAAGGGTTAATTCCTGGAATCGGCGAATCAAATATTTTAATGTTAGATCCTCATCCTTCTGCTCTTCACCCAAAGTTGCTTCATACCAATGAGGGCTATATTCTACCATTCCGTATTGATTTTCTTCATGTGGGATAGTTGCTACCACATCATTTTTATCTTCAGAGAAGTAAAATAAGAGCATCGGCATCTGGAAATGCCGATGACTGAATAGTCATGGGGTGCCACTGCTAGACTCCATCCCTTCAGTCTAGCTAACCGGCAAATATTGTTCCCGTGTGTCGACCCATGGCCACATTCGCATTCATTGTCTTAAAATTATTCCGTGCTTTTTCACTAACACTAATAAATACTAACTAGTATTTATTGGTTTCTTGTTGGAGGCCCGATCGTTCATGCCGAAGCGACTCGTACAGTCCTTTTTTGTTACGAACACCACAGGAGCAGCAGTCGCTCTTCCACGCCCTCCCGAATATCCTTTTCCTCTTCTTCCGAAACTCTATACACTGTCTCAAAAAAAGTATGCCACTTTATTTTTTGGTTCAAAGAGTCTTCCAGACGGTGGTAGTGCTGGTATATATAGGATTCATATAGACTCAATATAGACTTCACGAAGGCGCTCGCGCGACGCAGCCTTCCTGTTACGCATCAGCATCTTCAGGTGAACAGCGCGTTTGGCAACAATAGTCATTTTTATGCCTCCTGGTTGACGTCCTCGTTGACAGCCAACTCTTGCCAGAAACAGCCATCACCACCACGTCGAACAGTGACATAATTGTGGTCTATCAGGTGCAGTGGGGGCACCACATTAGCAAGGGGTACCAGTGCAAAATATCCCTTTCTTGTCTCCTCTACAGGTGGCATTAATTTTCTTTTCTTTTTCCACTACGGATCTTAGTCTCCTTCGCCACTGGGTGTCAAATCGCGCCTCTTGAGGGTACGACCACGTCGGGGTCACCAAAATGTAGGCGGCTCTGACGTGTTTTAGTACTATTGATTTTTAAAATATCAGATGACCAGCGTGTTCGAAGTTTGGATTTACTCCGCATTTCGCTCCAATCATACAAAGAATTTATTCCGACTTTGTTTTTGTCACTGACCTCTTCCAAAACTGAATCAATAGCAAGGTAAGAATAATCAAATGTTTCCTTAGACGATTACAGAATGCAGCATAATGGACAGACAATACCTAAATGAGGACCGGCGTTGACTCCCTCAAGGATTCATCTCTAGACCTCTCTTGGGCCTCCCTTCACTATTCCCCTACCCAGCTGGTCCAACTCTCTCCCTGTCTCACGCACGCGGCTTTTTTTCATCTATTAGAGGGCATGTGTGCATACACATCCGTCCAACTCAACTACCAAGATGATGATTTATAGAAAGTACAATGCCAAGAGTATGCCAAACAAGTAATGCCATCTGAAAAAGCGGTTGATCTTTCCAATTCTGCGTTCATTCTGCTACGATTCGACATTGGAGACAAATTCACTTGATTTCAGGAAATAACATTTTAAAACAACAGAATCTAAGTCCAAAGGTAACCTTTTCCATACAGCCCAACTCCCCGTAGTCTTAACTGCACATACGTTACGACAAAACCCGAAAGCCGCTATGTTCCTGTCTTCAGGTAGCACATACTTGAATCGATTAATTCTGTTCAAGAAGGGCTAGCCCCTCTACAGGATGTCGGCCAAAACCATTTGCAAGGTCTTAAACCTTACTTGGTTTACTTCAATCTGCTCCTACTTCAATTCCATTCTAGACTTCTCAGCCATATGCACATTACAACCTGAAACATTCAGCACAATGGTTCTCACTCAAAATGACAAATTGTATTGATAGGTAAGACTTCGACTCGAAGACTTATAGAGTGGTGCAGGACCAGCACTACACAGGGATTTAGTCCAGGACAACTTGCTATGTCCTGGACCTTACCCTGCTCTGCAACGGCATCTAATAGCATTATCTCACTGTCTCTGCCCTTGCCATATTCCCGCTAAAGTTACTCCCAGTCCTGAGGCAAATGAAAGACTTCCTTTCATTAGGCCTACAGCGGAGGTACTTCCCTGGGACAGCAGACACCCCTTTAGTGTCTACTTACCTCCTAAATGTGAGCAATAGGTGGATACAAATGAAGCTAAAAAAAATAAGAACAATATAATGGAATCAAATTTATTAAGCAATCATGCCAAGATGTATACAAAATATATATAAAAAGAATAGAAAATAAAAAGAGAATTTCAGTAAATTAACCCTTTTTAGGATACTGGTACAATAATGTACAATCTCCCTCTCTTTCTGCAGATTTTTGACTCATAAAGGGTTAATTCAGGACATCAGCAATGCAAGGAGAAAATAACGTCTGAATGTCTCAGTACCAGAAATCAGAGAGTGTAAGCATGAAAGCTGCATCATACGCATAAATTTTTGTAAGGTGCCCAATGCTTTCCTTGCATGGCTTTCATGCTGGGGAAAAAAAATATTTGTACTTTTCATTTCAAAGAAAGAAAACCTCATTGATGTGAGACAATGAATTCCTTAGACTTATTCTTAAAAATATGACGAACATGGTTGCTTTCCAGCAACTTTGCAAGACTAGCACCATCAGTTCAAGCAATCACATCAAAGAATAGTTGTCTGTTTATTGTAAATTAAACAAATTGAGTAGCATAATCATAGAAAAATATACCAGTTTCTCCATGCATATACCAGGTGTTGTACAGAAAATGTGCTGAGATTTTTGTGTTTAATTTTCAACTTCAAGATGAGGCAGAGGCATACAAATAATGCCATGTTTACATCTATCTTTCCTCTCCTTCCATGAAAACTATAAATGTTTAACTATCAGAGAATACCAACAGGAAGTGTTTGACTAAGACACCTCAAATATGTTAATATCACACACAATTCAGGAGCTACAGCACAAGCACAGTATGAAGTCGGGCTACAGCACAAGTGCAGTATGAAATCCAGTTGATGTCTCACTTGGTGCTAAGAGCCTGGCTGGTTAGTTGAATGAACCAAGTTGAATCACTTCATTGCTGAACAGAGAGCAAGCATTCAACAGGCCTGGAACAAGATGAATAAGATGAATTGTGATATGGCAAATTTTGAGGTGCCTTAGTTGAACAGATGCTGTGAATGCACTCTGATAGCTAGAATTTCAT